GACTTAGTTTGGCCAATCGTGATATCTACGAAGGGCACTCCGAATCCGAAGGCTTAATCGGCCCTAAGATGTCATGCACCAAAGGAGGCTCCGAATCTTGAGACTTAATATGGCCAATTGTGATATCCACGAAGGGCGCTCTGAATCTGGAGGCTTAATCGGCCCTAAGGTGTCATGCACCAAAGGGGGCTTCGAATCCGGAGACTTAATGTGGCCAATCGTGATATCCATGAAGGGCGCTCCAAATTCAGAGGCTTAATCGGCCCTAAGGTGTCATGCACCAAATGGGGGCTTTGAGAAATGAATTGAGCGACGAAGAAAAATGGTTTGCATTACAGAAGTGATATATATACAAGTATCAAAGCCCACAGGTCGGGTCAGTGATAGGGTTTTCATAAAATCTCTGCTTGTGCCGATTACGGGGAGCCACGGATTTCTTCAATGCCATGGGCTGTCGGGAAGCGCACAAGCTGATGATAAGTGCTTGGAACGACCTTCATAATATGTAACCAGGTTCGCCCCATAATGACATTATACGGTGAAGGGAGTTTTACGACCAGGAATTCTACTACTCGACTATTCTGGAGCCCGCCCGAACAGGTAGTATGATCTTCCCTAACGGGTACTCAGGATTCGTATTAAAGCCGAACAATGGGTGAGGCGCTGGAGACAGATCTGACTCGTTGAAGCCGAGTTTAATGAAAGTTTTGTAATACATAACCTCTGAAGTACTCCCTGGGTCTATGAGAATGCGTTCAATGGTGAACCGATTTACATGTAATTTGATGACCAACGGATCGATGTGGGAGGTTGTTGTGCCGTTAAGATCGGAGTCATTGAAAGTAATTGTCGGAGCTTTTCTGGGCCATTCCGTCAGAATACGTTGCTTTTGGGGGATTGGATGCGATTGAATTGTGTGCACGGTTGGGGATGTAGGCAGGTTGTAGATTATATGGATCACGCCAAGTGGAGGCGAGTCCTGCCTCAAGGCTAATGCCTTGATTGGCTTTCCCTTTCTCACGTACTGTTGCAGTCGACCGTCCTGCACCAGTTCTTCCAGGTGATCCTTTAATGCGTAACAGCTCTCGGTTTCGTGGCCGTGATCTTTGTGATACTCGTACCTCTTATCCCTTCTTCGCGTGTCGGGTGGCCCCACCATCTTTGACGGCCATTTGAAGAATGGAATGTGTTGGACTTTGGTCATTATTGCAGTGATTGGTTATGACAACTTTATGTACTTCTTGTCGGCACGCCTCGAGCGCCTGCTGTCGACTTGTAGTTGTTCATTCGTCCGGTGGGAGCATTAATCGGTTGATCGGCGAGAGTCCCGTCTTTTGTCTCGTTTAGCGCGTTGCCGTGGCTCAGGGCTTGGAGGTGGCATGGAACTTATTGGTTGAGCAATTTCAATAGGGGCCGTTTTGTTGGACATTTGTCCGGCTTTTATTCTCAAGGCATCATCTTCCACTTTGCAATACTCTTCAACTTTCTTTATTAATGCCCAGACTGTTTTGGGGGGTCTTCTGGTCAGGGAACTGCGAAGAGCACTGTCGGGATGTAGTCCCATTTTGAAGGCGGTGATGGCCATAGAGTCGTTACAAGCATCGTCGACGAGGTTGAAGCACTCCCAATAGCGCGCTGAATACGCTCTGAGCGTTTCTCTTGACTGGATCTGCATAGCTCATAGAGAGTCGGCTTGTTTCGATTGTACCTTGTTGGTGATGAACTTGGCCCTGAAGGATTTCTGTAATTGATGGAAGCTTTTGATCAAAGCCGGCTCCAGCTTGTAATACCACCTGACAGCTAATGGCTCCAGGCTGCTGGGAAATATTCAGCACATGAGGGCTTCGTTGTCTGCATGCAATGTCATGGCCTGTTTATAGCGACGGATATGATCAGTGGGGTCTGATTTTTCGTCGTAAAGAGTGAATGACGGAGCTTTGAACTTCTTGGGCAGGGTCACCCTTGCAATCCGTCGGACAAAAGGATCGTGCTGGTCCTCTTCGTCTGAACAGCTTCTTCTGCGCTTGTTCCTTGTATGTAGACTATTTTTGGAAGAGTTGGAAGTTTCAGATCATCCCTTCTTGTTGAGCTCCGTGGGAAATGAGTTGGAGTCGCTATCGGTATCCTTTGGTTGGGCTCGAGGTCGTTGTCCACCTGCCCTCGGAGGTCGTTCAGGATCTTGGCGCACGGCTTTTCTGGATTTTGCTATTTCCAAGGCCAAATCTTGACGAAGACGTTCATTTTCAGCGATCATGTTCTCCCGCCTTTTGTTCATTCTGCTTTGCTTGTTCCATGATCGCTTGCATTGTTTTTTGCGCTGAAGTCGTTGGTGAGTCGAAGTTCAAGGCGCGTCTTGCAGCGATGGTTTCCTTTCCGAGCATATTTGCTGGAGTGAGGTCATCTCCCTGTGCGGTCTCGTTAGTGGCTATTGGAGGATCTTCAGTCACGCCTGCATAGATGTATTTGAGTATTCCCACAGGCGGCGCCAGCTGTGGAGAAGTGGTTTGGAAATACTTTTCCGATCTTGGAAGACGCTAGTGATCCTCAGCGAGTCACCTGAAAAGATATAAACACTTCGGTCGGGGGTGCCGGAATTAGCACTCCGACGAACAAGTCAGTTTAGACGCTCAGGATAGCTTCTTTACTAAGTTAAGTGAAGTGATTCTTACATACCTTTCTCAATCCATTGTTCTTATATTTATACCTGTTCCTTTTGATCCTCGAGGCCAGGGCCTACTTTTTAATCATTGTCCTTTCTCTTATCCAGCTCTAAGGATCTACACTTATTCGGCACATATATTATATTCGGCTTCCCGTTCCCGTAGGATACAGCCGGTTAATATCAGTCTTCTAAGGTACGCACCTTCTGATTCTGCCATTATTCGGCTCTCACAATAAACTAATATTTTGATACATGAGTAGTATGATATATACCTTCCAAAAAAAGGAATGAGTTATAATATATGAAATATAAAGCCTAGGCAACATCATTTTTTAGTTTAAAAGTTAAAAAATTATTAAAAAAATTAAAAAATCAATAACATATACCAAAAAGTCAAATGTTGCGTTTGGTAGAGCTTTAGAATTATAATTTGAGAATAGAGTTGTATTTTGAGTTTGTGAGTTTTAGAATTACGATTTGAGTGTGAAAATTTTGTTTGGTTATGAGTTTTAAAAAAAGTTTGAATTGAGTGATGTGACATATAATATTGAAAAGTGGGCGTTTTGAAAAGTGAGTGTGAAATTAATTTTTTAAAAATTTAACTAAACAACACACTTAAACTAAGGGATAAAATTAAATTTTAAAAACTCTACCAAACAGAGCCAAAGATTTTTTTTTTCTCTATATTTTTTACATATTTTTTTTATAAAAAACTAAAAAATCATTTCAAATGTACTAATTTTTTTTATTTCATATTTTGGTTAAAAAGTTATTAAAATAATATATTCCCAAACAAGGCGTAAATGTAAAAAAAGAAAAGAAATTAGAATTGTAGTAATTATTTTAATATTTTCTATACCTAAAATGACCCTTCATTTTAAACCATGTGCCCCCCATGTTATGGGCAATTGAGGAAATGGGAATTTTAGGGGGCAAGAAAGCCAAGATTGAAGAAGAGACGACCAACCTGATCAAAAAAAAAAAAAAAAAAGAAAAAAAAAAAAGAGACGCCCAACACGTCAAAGACAGCTAAGAGATAGAAAGCATGGGGGGTGGAGTGGGGACCATGTGAGTAGCGGGAAAATGGAAAGCATAGCAAAAATTATGTTCCCACTACAACGTTCGACTCGTGCCACGTCGGCCTCTATCCCTCGTTCGTGCGCTTCATTTTAGGGAAAATCTCTCTTTTCTCGCACTTTATTTAACATAACACGACGCCGTATTATCCACACCTCGTATGCCGCGACATCGTTGTCGTACTTATTCCACCGACCCGATCATTGTTTTTTATTTAAATTGTAAATTTCGAACACAACAAAACAAACCTCTAAAAATATAAATAGTAGAAAATTAGGGTTTTAGTGGCTTGTTTAAGAAGTTTGTTTTTTTAGTTGATTATTTAATTATTTTAATTTAATTAAAATAATTATGTTTAAAAGGATAATTAAGTTTTTTTTAATAGTTGCTTTGGGTCAATTTTGGTAAGTTAATTAAAATTTATTTTTTTTGAATTTTTAATTTTTTAAAAGTCACATTATCTCTTTATTTGTTTACATATTTTTTTATAAAAAAAAATTAAAAAATTAATTTTTAACCAAAATTTTAAAATAATTTTTGATAATTGTGAAAGAAAAAAAAGGACAAATTATTAACATATTCTTAAAATTTGACTAAAATACAAATTTCTTTTGAGATTTGTACTAAAATATGATTTTTCAAATCTCAAAGGAATCCCTATTCTACTCAAACATCAAGCGTGTCGGTAATTTACCTAAAAAAATAATTATAAACTATTAATTAGTTTAATTTAATTTAATTTTTATTATTCCCATGTCTCAAAATAATAGTCTTTTATGAAAAATTTAATTTTTTTTTGATAGTATAATTATTACACTTTAAAAAAATTGATTTTTTAAAATTATCTTTTTGATAGTATATTTTTTGAGAATATTAATGTTATAATTGTACTTTTTATATTATTTATTAATTTTAAAAAAAATAAAATAAAAAATTTATATTATTTTTATACTTAATGAGAGGTTAGGCCTCGTTTGGAAACAGGCTAATTTAGTAACTTTTTGGCTAATTGGCTAAAAAGGTAAGTAAAAAAAACTTGTATGTTTGGGATGACTTTTTGACTAATTACGAAAAGCTGTGCAAAAAGTAGAGAGAAGCCGTAATTATTGACTTTTTAGTATGACTAATTGGCTAATTGGCTAATTTAGTAACTTTTTGACTTTTTAGCTAAAACAGAGCCTTCCCAAACGAGGCCTTAATATTTTGAAATAATAAAAAATAAAATAAGTAACTAATATTTTGAGAAAAAAAAAAAGCTGCCAAACAGGCCCCGAGAGAGAAAGGGACGGAAACCTTTGCAGCAGAGCTGCGAGTACACTCTTCCCAGTTCTCTCTCTCTCTCTCTCTCTCTCTCTCTCATCAAAGCTGAACCAAAGAAAAGAGGTTTCTGGGTACGCTCTACCCATTTTCTTCTCATTCTTGCAAATGTGATCTGATCTATACCGTTCTCTTTCTCTCTCTAGATCAGATCGAAACAGTGTGAAATTTCACTTTTTTCTGTGTGTAGGTGATCCAAAACCCTAACCACAATGTTCACTGAAGGACTTGACAACAATGCCCTTCGATGGGTCAGAGAGGTTAGCTTCTTTCACATTCAAATATATGTATATATGTAACTGTGAATCTGTGAAGTGGGTATTAGTTTATTTTCATGAATTATTGAATGTGTTCATGTTTAAATTGCTGTGATTCTAAGAAATTGAATTGTTCATTGTGTTGAAACTGCAATTGAAATTTAGGGTAATCTTAATCAGAAGAAGGAACTTCCTTACTCGATTTCGAACTTACGGCCTCAAATGGATTCTTATTCAAAAATCCGAACCGTTGGTGGTGGTCGAGGGTTTGGACTGCCTCCCCCATCGAAATTCCGAAGCGGTCTATCTGGTGTAATTCCAGTTACAAGAACCATACCTGTTGATGGGGATGATAGTGGTGGGTCTGGCTCTGACAATGACGCAACCACTGATTCGGAGGAGGAGGTTTATGGGGGTAGATATTCGCTTGATTCATCGCCGCAAGATGATAGAGTTCCTAACAATGCAGCTGCTCAAACATACTACAATTCGGCTCAGAGGCAACCCCGTTACGCCAGTGATTCCGTGTACTCCGATGATGTTAGTTCTTCGAGGGAAACAATTAGGAGAGGAAATGGGAATGTGGCAGAGAGACTGATTGGGGGAGCCAATAGGTACCCAGTTGGAAGGAATAGTTACATGGAGGATGATTCCTCTGATTCGGCTGCAAGCTCTGAATTTTCGAGCACTCAACTGGGGAGCAACAATGGTGCTGGGCCGCCTCGTGCAAGAACGGGTAATGTTGCTTCTCAGGTGAATGCGAAAAAAGCTGCAGTAAAGGTTTGTTCTGCTTTAAGTCACCTTCAAAGTGATTGTGATGATGTTGTGTGTATATGGAATTTAGCAATTGCATCATGACTTATTTTTCATTTAGAGAATTTGGTGATTAAAATAAAGATTTAAATTGTTCTTGTATGCCTATATTACTGTTGTTGTGCAGGCTTCATAATTTCTTGTATTGATTATGTTGCTTTTGGTATCTATCTATATCTGTTTATGCTATCTATATACTAATATATTAAGTCGCTACACCATTTGGTGTGAACCTAATTTCGAAATTCTACCCTAATTTTGTAGTATCCTATAGGTTTCACTCGTTTTAAAGTGTCCATGGAACATAGTAATTTGCTAATGGAGCATCAATTTGAATCTCATGGTCTTGTGTACTCCTAAGGTTTCAATGTTTAACCATAATCCATGATAATATAGTTGTTTATTCTATCATAGAAGTATTGTTAAGAATTTTTTTATGCTATTCATTCCCTGCTGCCCAGTAGTATTCATTTCAAATATGTATAATGTTTTGTTAAGCCAATCACAAATTTGCAGGATTCATGTACTAGAAACTTGCAGACTGGAACGCTTTCTGATGATGATATTCCCAGTGCACCTCCAATATGTGGTTCTGCTGGAGAAATCAAGCAAGATGCTGAACAGCTTCCAACTGCTAGACCACATTACACACCCCGTGCAGCCGATTCACATGATTCAGTTAAAAATGGCCCAAATATTCATGAAAACATTTCTTCTCAGGTTAAACCACGAGATAGTACTGGACAGAAGCTTGCTGACCAGTCCGTGAGGTTTGTAAAATGTTTTGCTGGTTTTTCTTGCAATTGGTGCCATATTTTTTATGCTTTTACGACCAAATTTATTCATTGTTGTGATTTGAGACAAATGTATTATGTATGTATTATAGGAGTACTACTGGTATAGAAAGTGGTGCACCCTCAGGTTCAGTCCCTGCTCGCCTCCCAACATTTCATGCCAGGTATTTCTTGCTAACTGTTAATGAATTTCACTTGTAATTTTTTTTTTTGGGTGCATATGACATTTTATATTTTGCTTTTGATTGCTGACTTATATGTTTTCTTGATCAAATTCAGTGCACAAGGGCCGTGGCATGCTGTGATTGCATATGATGCATGTGTTCGGCTATGCCTTAATGCTTGGGCAAAGCAATGCATGGAAGCTCCCATGTTTTTGGAAAATGAATGTGCTCTATTGCGCAACGCGTTTGGGTGAGTTTAAGTTTTTTTTTATTATATTATTTTTGCTTTTCCACAATGCTATCATTTCAATTGGGTTTTATTTTGCATTTTCTACTGATATCTGGAAACAGTTACAAGGACAATAACATAAATACTAACAGTAGCTCTTACTGAGCAGAACTACTATTTGAAGTAATTGAATGGAACCAACAGATAATAATTTCATTAAGCTGATGAAAGGGAAGCAAATTGCATAGGATTTGGTGGAATATAATCTAAATCTTCACAAGATTGAAACTATTTTGGAGAAAAGAAAATATACATGATGAATATCCCTAGTGAAAAAGAAAAAGCATATTCTGTTTTATGTCAGCTATGGCTGTTCAGTAGCTGGAATCCTGGTTTGGGATTTTAGCTTTTTTTCTGAGACTATGTTCAGTTCAGATTCTAGATTTGTTAGTTGTATAGTTCTTCAACTGTGGTCATTACACCTTGCATGACTTTGCACTAACCTGTAGTATATCGTCCTGGCACTTCATTAGTCATCATAAAAGCTCCCTTTTTTGTTGGGGAATAATAATAATTCTCTTATTTGTTGTTTGTATGCATCTTCTTCTTCCTTTTCCTTTTTTTTTTTCCCCCTTCATTTCTTTAGTTTTTCACTTTGCAAGTTTCACTTCAAAGGCCTATCTCAATACACAGGTTTACTTTGAAGTTCTTTTAGTTCCTTGTGTATTTAATTTCTTTTTAATTTTTTATGAGAAATTATTCATGAGTACTACTAAAGTACCAATCATTTAAGTGCGTCCTGTCCAAGCTATTCATTTATCTGGCACTTTTGCACTGCCATATATTGTTTATTGCGAATGTTCTAAACTTAAAAATGCATTGGGAGTGAAAATACTCTTGGAAAATATTACACAGGATATATAATTTTTATCAAAAAGTTGCAAGTTGTTCTTAAATCACAGAAGTAAATTTGACCAAGTTTATGAATGCTCAGTAAAATTCCAATTCATGTTAAGATATTACAACAATGTTGCACTAAAATTAAAATGCTTGACTATGTTTTGTGAGAGAGTGTGTGGTGAGTCCTGAAAATATTTTTCTGTCATGTTTGTTCGATGTTTAATCCTAAACAATATAAAATGGGGTGGAAATTATCTTGAATCTTTCTTCTTCTTCCTTTTTTATTTTATTTTAATTACACTCAATTTAGTCCCCATTGGAGTTGAATCTTAGATTGTAGAAATCTCTCCCATGCTTCAATATCCTTCGTTTATGCTACAGTTTGCAGCAAGTGCTTTTACAATCAGAGGAGGAACTAATGGCAAAGCGCTCTTCTGAGCTTGCTAGCGAGGGAACTGCCCCAAAACCTAAGAAAATGGTTGGGAAGATGAAGGTGCAAGGTAGTATTTCATTTCCAGACATGGACATTCTCATTGGTTAAAAAGTGGTAATGATCCATTCAGGCGTTTTACTTGTTATGCAGTTCGTAAAGTGAAAATGGCTCTGGACCCACCTACTGGCTGCAGTTTTTCATCCCTTAAGGCACCAAAGATAAAAATGACAGACGTCCGATATCGCCTTTCCAGTTTGCAATCAACACTCTCTTCTGGGTGGCAAGCACTGAGAAAAGTTCGTTTTGTTGCTCGCATACCTCCAAATGGTTCTTTTTCACGCCAGAGCTTGGCATATGTGCAGGCTAGTGCTCAGTATGTGAAACAGGTCTCTGGACTCTTGAAAATTGGCGTAACAACTCTGCGCAGCAGTTCATCTTCTTATGAAGTTGTACAAGGTATGTGGGCCCTATGCTTCATTGGAAGTTAATAGAAGTTCTACCATCTTTTATAACACAGCTGTTAGTCATCCAATCCATGTTTGCTTAGAATTTCTGCTTTGATGGACCTTTCTTGATTATATCAAATTCCATGAATTACAAATTGATTGTCCTGTCTATTTTGTAGTCGGTGCTTGACCCTACCATAGGCGCTCACTCATCTTAATATGACATTCCTAGGCAGTGACCTAGGCAGTGATCTAGGCATATGATGTTGGTATTGATAAATCACTTAGCAGTTTGTGCGCTGCAGTTAATTGGTTTTTGTTTTGATTCTTGGCATATTGAACCATTTGAATGCTTATAACTGTTTATTGCTATGCCTTTCTAACCAAAAGTGATTCTACTAAAATGTCATCAGAAACATATTCTTGTTTATTACGACTGAAAAGTTCAAGTGAAGAGGATGCTATCAGAATGCAACCTGGATCTGGTGAAACCCACGTGTTGTATGTATACTCTTGCTCTTCTGTACATATTTTATCTATTGATCTGTTTGGAGAAGGTATTGACAACTTTACAGCTTACCAGATAGCCTAGGAGATGATCTAATTGTTGAGGTTCAAGATTCCAAGGGGAAGCAATATGGCCGTGTCCTTGCTCAAGTGGCTGCTATCGCTGAAGATCCAGTAAAGTTCTCCAAATGATCACTTTAGTTCTAAAACTAGCTGGTAGTGAAGATTGTTTTGGTACGGGGATTATATTTTAAGATCTTTGCAGGGTGACAAGCTGCGATGGTGGTCAATTTATCATGAACCAGAGCATGAGCTTGTTGGCAGAATACAGCTCTACATCAATTACTCAACAAGTTTAGATGAAAATAGTCATCTTAAGGTGAGCTATCCTAATGAATATTTAAAGCTTGTGGCTTATAGCTTGAGTTAATGTGTGAAGCATCCACATTTTTATTTATATTTTTTTGTGCGTGTGTGTGGCACAAGATTGCTATGTGTTATATCATATAGTTCAGGAATTAGGATTCACTTTTTAATGAATGAATAGGTGATTTGGCGATGACTTATTGGCCGTGCTATTAATTAGCTTTTTAGGCTAAAATCCACAAAAACACAAAATAGGCTAAAATAGCCAATAAGACAAAATGTCACATTAAACCCATAATCATTTTACGTTTTCTCTCTCAAACATCACATCCAACTACAAAAAAATCCAACCATCTTTCCAAACACAAAATTTTTAGCCTACTAAAATAGCCAAAAACTAAAATAGTCTATTAAAATAGCCAACTTCCCAAACAAGGCCATTGTAACAAACTTTTGAAGGTGTAATGTATACATTCATGTTGTATCTTTGTAGACCTGTCCATTAAAATTCTCAAATGGAGGATTTAGTACAAAGATTTAGATGTATTGACTATGATGCAATCATGCAATGCTTTAAATACTTTTGAGTTCTGGTGAGAGTAGGCTTGACTTCACTGTTGACTCTGAAGAATTAGAGATATACCCTCTTGTAGATGGACATCACATTGCATATTGTTTTGTTGCTGATCTTATTTTTATACCAGTAACAGATTTTGGGTTAGTGTGTATCTTTTGTTTCTTTGAATGGAATAGTTGTTTTTAGAATTTCAATTGTTTGAATTTAAAAACATTGTCTTCCAAAGTAATTTATGATTTGGCCGGTTCTCTTTTTGGTCTGTAGTGTGGTTCTGTTGCAGAAACTGTGGCATACGACTTGGCACTAGAAGTTGCAATGAAAGTACAGCATTTTCAACAAAGAAATTTATTGCTGCATGGCCCATGGAAATGGTTGCTAACTGAATTTGCATCCTATTATGGAGTTTCAGATGCATACACTAGGCTAAGGTATTGAAGCTTCTTTCTGCCAAAATGATGTAGCTATGTAATATAATATCTTATGACCACATTTATATTCCTTGACCGTTCTGTAATGATATTTCTCTGATGCTTGTTCCTAGATATCTTTCTTATGTCATGGATGTGGCAACACCGACAGCAGATTGTCTCACACTGGTGTATGATCTTTTGTACCCTGTAGTTATGAAGGGCCACAGTAAGAACACATTGAGTCATCAAGAGGTACAATTGTTCTTTCAGTTTGAAATTATAATTTCATTCTTAATTTAATACTACTTATACTAGATTTACTACTACTTCCTGCTTATACTAAGAAATTTGAATGAAAATTTGGGTGGAATTTTGCTTGTACTAAGAGCATCTCCAATCCTTACTCTCTGTTTTTTCCCCCTCCATCAAATTTGATTGAAAATTTGGTTAAAAGCTTGATCTGGTATGGAACACTCAAATCCTTGTGCTTTTTTCATCAACTCTTTTTTAAAAATTCCAAACTTATCCTAAAACCTATTTTAATAACTGTTTATGAAAGAAAATCATCGTACTCTTCTTAAAATTTCATCAAATGTGAGTAAATATATGAATATTTGAAATTTAGTGAAGGATTTGGTTCATCCTTGATTTGGTGAAAATTTTGCCTCTCCTTTGATATAATAGTTTGATAAAATGATTGGACCTCACTTTAACTTTTTATTCATCAAATTTGAAAATGATGGAAGAATTGGTGAAGGATTGGAGATGCTCTCACTATTATTGTTCGTGTGCATCTCTATGCTAACAATGTGCATGTTCTTATCTGCTTCACCAGAACCGAATCTTAGGAGAAATTGAGGATCAAATCGACCAGATTCTTGCTCTGGTTTTCGAGAATTATAAATCCGTGGATGAATCAACACCATCTGGAATGATTGATGTTTTTAGGCCTGCAACTGGGCTTGCAGCACCTGTATTGGAGCCTGCTGTGAAACTATTTACCCTTCTGCATGATATACTGTCTCCCGAGGCGCAGAATAAGCTGTACAGCTTTTTTCAGGTTTTTGAAACTGATTGTGTGTATAATAATGCTAGTTCAAAATTTCTACCTTTTCATTTTTGTAATTAGTGATTGTATATTCTCAGGCTGCTGCAAAAAAGAGGTCAAAAAGGCACTTGACTGAGACGGATGAGTTTGTTACCGGAAACAATGAAGGCATTTTGATTGATGCTGTTACCATGTCTACTGCTTATCAAAAGATGAAATCTTTGTGTTTGAACATCGGAAATGAAATTTTCACTGATATAGAGATCCACAATAAACATATACTTCCTAGGTAAATTGTCTTCATCTTCTTGTTGTGTCAACATTATATGAAGCTCAAGTAAATGTTCATTTGTGCATTCACATTATTGGAGCTTGGCCTTTTATTGGAAAATTTATTTGTTGAATCCATGATTTGTTATTTTTTTCTGTTTGAGGGGTTGACTTATTTCAATGTTGAAAGTTGTAATATCATTTTTCGTGTACTGAAGTGTATCATGTTCTTCTAAAGTTGGTCTAGAAACAAGAAGCATGCACTTTTGAATGAAAAACTAAATTTAACCGTTGTACACTATGCTTTTCTAACAAGTATAATTTTATTAGAGAATACCAGATATGGGGCTCACAAATTTATGTGTACACCATTATACAAAATCAGGAAGCATCTATATTTATTCTCTACAAAATCAAAACTATATAATATAATCATATCTGACAACTAAATTGAGGTATGCATAGAACTGATTATATTTATTATGGAATCTGGACGTATTAATCCATGATGCGCGACAATTTTAGTGTCTTATGAAAGAAGGCTGTTAGTTTTGTATTAGTTAAACCCAGAGCATGAACGTCAGCCGAACTTCATGTTGTGGCATGTGCTCCAAAATTCACCGGGTGTGTTTGGTTTGTGTTTGTAGAGTAGTTTTTGAGATAAAAAGTACGAAAACTTGTTTGGTTTGTTTTTTTTCAGAAATGGTTTTGGAAAATTGTTTTGGGGAGAAAGTTTTTAAAAAAGTGATTGACTTGATGTGTATGATGTGTATGAGAGAGAGTGATTTTGGAAAGTAGGTAACCAAACAAAATTTTGAGATTTTTTTTGGAAAAATTTGTTTAGTTTGATTACTCTTGAAAATTTGTTTGTAGAGAATTTTTCTCAAAAATTTTTCTGAAAAACAAACCAAACAAGGCCACCATCTTTGGCTGCTATGTAGCTTTTTACGGCAAAATTAGGCTGCTTTTGAAGTGTGTAAAACTTTATGTTAATCACTTATCGACATACAATAGCAACATTACAAATTACAATTGCTATGCTCTTTAGTAATACAGTCCATCTAACAACTTCAATTTGGTTTTTTTCTTGATATGCCTTCTCACCAAAACAAAAAGAGCCACTATGAATGGTTCCTTGATCAGCATGATACCCAAAAAATATAGATGTTCTTGGCTGCATGCAAAATCTTTATTGTTGAGATGTCGCCCGCTTACACTTTCTTTTCTGGCTGCTTCCTGGTTATCTTATAACAGAAATTCAAACTTATGTGTGTGCAGTTTCATAGATCTTCCCAATCTTTCCTCAGCAATATACAGCGCAGAACTTTGCAATAGATTGCGTGCATTCCTCATTGCGTGCCCTCCAATGGGCCCTTCACCTCCTGTAGCAGAACTTGTCATTGCAACTGCAGATTTCCAAAGGGATCTTGCCAGTTGGGGTATCAAGTAAGAAATTTGTCATGATTCTATTCCTTTTTGCAAATGGTATTACATTCCTTATTGCTTTCATAGTTCTTGCTGACTTTGCATTATCTCTTAGTCCTGTCAAAGGTGGAGTTGATGCAAAAGAATTGTTCCATTTGTATATTATGCTCTGGATTCAAGACAAGCGCCTTTCTTTGCTCGAGTCATGCAAATTAGATAAGGTACAAATACTATGCAATTGCAAATAATTATGTGGTGTATCTTTAGTAAAGCAATTTCAAAAACTTCTAATTTTGATTGTAGCAACCTTTGTAACTGCCCAGCTACCTGAACATTCATATCCAATTTCTCTTACATTCATATCCTTGAAAATCAAAGAAAAGAAGGGCATGACCTAATGTGGGGAATTTTTTTTTGTTTTATTTGCGATTACTTGTTTGTGATTTACTGCTATGATGCTTAATGGAAAGTGTTTACTTGCAGGTTAAATGGTCAGGAGTCAGGACACAACACTCAACAACGCCTTTTGTTGATGAGATGTATGAACGCTTGAAAGAGACATTGAATGACTATGAAGTCATCATCTGTCGCTGGCCAGAATACACTTATGTTTTGGAGAATGTACGTGTGACTGACTATTTCTTCATCTGATGTTTTGTGGCCTTTTGCAAATGACTGCAAAAAGAGGGCAAAAGGCTCTTATGTTATTTTTGTATTTTGTTTTATTTTGTTTTTAATGTTACAATGTGGGTTATAAATTGAAATTTATTTTTGTAAAGGCCGTTGCTGACATAGAAAGGGCAGTTGTGGAGGCCCTAGATAAGCAGTATGCAGATGTCTTGTCACCATTGAAGGAAAACTTGACACCAAAGAAATTTGGTCTGAAATATGTCCACAAGCTTGCAAAACGATCCGTGTGCCCCTATCTAGTCCCTGACGAGGTGTGCTTTAGCTGTCAAGATCTCTTCCCCCCCTTTTAATATTGATAATCTTTGGTCTGAAATAATATGGTTTTACTTTCAGCTTGGAATTCTTTTGAATTCCATGAAGAGGATGCTGGATGTATTGCGCCCTAAGATAGAGCATCAATTGAAGTCATGGGGGTCATGCATCCCAGATGGGGCCGGGGCCAACACAGCCCCTGGAGAGCGTCTCAGTGAAATAACCGTGATGCTTAGAACCAAGTTCAGAAATTTCCTTCAAGCAGTTGTGGAAAAGCTAGCTGAAAATGTGAGTATCATTCCAAAACCTTGAAGAATTCATGCCTAATATGATTTTTCTCATTTGTGGATCATGACAAATTATAATATACATTTTTTTTCCTTTTTTTCTGATAAGAACCACACAATGGCATTATTTTTTATACATGCATATATGTACATATATCCTAAGAATTTGACTTGGCAAGGTTTGAATCCCGTGTTTAACGTGGTAAACAGGGGTGTGCTACTTGGGCTCAAGCCAATGTTCCCAAAATTGTTTCAGACCATTAGCATAGCTAGATTTTTTTTTTTTTAAATAAAAGAAGAAGAATGTTTTTGACTGATTGGACTGCAAAAAAAGCTCCTTTGTTGGCTGGAATATGCCTATTTTCTCGGTGTGCTGGTGCGCCTAACATTTGTGTGATATGCTACACACCAAGTTTATTGTTCTTCCACTTGATTTATGTACTAAGTTTGAAAACCAATTTTGATTTGTTTGATATAATTTTAACTGGTTTTCTTTCTCTGTTTCAGACAAGGTTACAGAATGCTACAAAACTGAAGAAGATTCTCCAAGATTCAAAGGAATGTATGGTAGAATCGGATATAAGAACTCGAATGCAGCCACTGAAGGACCAGCTGACGAGTACAATAAATCACCTCCATACCATCTTCGAGAGTCATGTTTTCATTTCAATATGTCGGGGCTACTGGGACAGGATGGGACAGGTTAGTTAATTGCCTCTGGACATTGTTAGAACAATCCAGCTCTCAACAATTTCACCAATCTTGAGTTGTTCTTGTTTTGTCACAGGATGTTCTGAGTTTCTTGGAGAACAGGAAAGAGAATAGGTCGTGGTACAAAGGTTCACGAATTGCTGTCTCTGTAAGTATAGCAACTTATCGAAGCCCAAACTCTCAGTATCCTAAGATTTAGGCTTATGAAGGTCTAATGCTTGGACCTATGCCTGAACTTGATACTCGTATCCGAGTCCATGTAACATAGATTAAAATTGATTGTGACCTCTGCAATCGATTAAAATTAGGCTTATGAAGGTCTAATGCTTGGACCTCTGCAATCAATGTTGTTCATCACAAAGCCATGTTCATTACCCAGAAAATACTGGATAAGTTGAATGACCGGGCCATGTTTATTTCTTTTTTGGTTCCATTTTATTTTTTCATGTTTTGAAAAACAAAAGAATGAATAGTTTGAAAACATCTATCAATTTTTGAAAACTACTTTTTGGTTTCCTAAAAAGTGACAGCTATTGGAAACAATTCGCCAAATAAGTTTCCTCTGTTTTCTGAAAAATGAAAACAGAAAATGAAAGACAACCAAACATAATTTCCTTGTGTTATTGTCATTGTAGTTAGCAATACATTTCATGTCCACCCTTGTGATTTTTTTGCCTTTTTCGGTTGCAGATTCTGGATGATACCTTTGCATCACAGTTGCAGGAGCTCCTGGGGAATGCCCTTCAGGAGAAGGACTTGGAGCCCCCCAAAACTATCATAGAAGTTCAGTCAATGCTTTGCAAAGATGCTCCAAGTCACAAGGGCAACACATACTACTATTAACCCTAATTTGTTTTGTAGATATGAGCGCCAGAAGATGACATAGGTACATGAGAGTGAAGAGGGGGGGGGGGGGCGGGCCCATAGGACAATTTAAAATAAGAATGACTAGATCTGAGATTGATCTTTGTTGGCAAAAGCTGAGAGCACTGGGTGTTGCCAATTTTTGTAGAGAGATTTAAGCTTCTTGGCCATTGCTGATTGCCTATCCACCTTCGGATGGTTTCTTCACATGTAATTGTTTTGAAAAATATAGAGAAGTTGTAAGTTGATATCACATTCTTTATATATATATATATATTTTCTCCATTTTCAAAATTTATGGACCATTCTTTGAATAATATAATCAGGTTATTGAAATATGGAATGGTTGAGAATACAAGATTACAGCAGCCCAATGGAATGTGCATAGATGGAAGTAGATGTGGTCAAATTTGCTAGGGGCTCGAGCTAAATAACCATAACATTATTAGAAAGAAAATATTTGTACAATAATATAAAATTTTACAAATTACTCTTGCCGCTGTGACATGGAGTAAATGACTCTTATTATAATACAGCTAGGTATTTGTGACCGATATACAAATACAAAACCAACCAAATAAAACATGAATGAAGTGAAATTATTATATATATATATTATAGGTTTCACCGTGTGATATGTGTGGTATTTATGCAAACATTAAATAAAAATAAATAAAAAGAAGTCTTTTAGTAATGAAGCTTTTTTGAAATCGGCTTGGCAAAAATAAGAGAAATGTTAGGGATATTAAAATTTTTACCAAATGTCTCACGTGGGAAGGGTCCCACATAAGTGTGAGGTCCACATCCATGTAAGATATTTTGTAAAATATTTGGCCCTTTATATATGCTACCTACATTATTTTCAATGACATAAAATGGCAAAAGCTGAGAGCACTGGGTGTTGCCAATTTTTGTAGAGAGATTTAAGCTTCTTGGCCATTGCTGATTGCCTATCCACCTTCGGATGGTTTCTTCACATGTAATTGTTTTGAAAAATATAGAGAAGTTGTAAGTTGATATCACATTCTATATATATATATATATATTTTCTCCATTTTCAAAATTTATGGACCATTCTTTGAATAATATAATCAGGTTATTGAAATATGGAATGGTTGAGAATACAAGATTACAGCAGCCCAATGGAATGTGCATAGATGGAAGTAGATGTGGTCAAATTTGCTAGGGGCTCGAGCTAAATAACCATAACATTATTAGAAAGAAAATATTTGTACAATAATATAAAATTTTACAAATTACTCTTGCCGCTGTGACATGGAGTAAATGACTCTTATTTTAATACAGCTAGGTATTTGTGACCGATATACAAATACAAAACCAACCAAATAAAACATGAATGAAGTGAAATTATTATATATATATATATTATAGGTTTCACCGTGTGATATGTGTGGTATTTATGCAAACATTAAATAAAAATAAATAAAAAGAAGTCTTTTAGTAATGAAGCTTTTTTGAAATTGGCTTGGCAAAAATAAGAGTAATGTTAGGGATATTAAAATTTTTACCAAATGTCTCACGTGGGAAGGGTCCCACATAAGTGTGAGGTCCACATCCATATAAGATATTTTGTAAAATATTTGGCCCTTTATATATGCTACCTACATTATTTTCAATGACATAAAAAAAATGCCTATTAAGGTAATAAATAAATATAGTGATCAGTTAGTATCTATTTCTTAAAGGGTAAGTTACACTTTGTCTCCCTAAAGTTTCACTTATTTTTTACTTTTGTCCCTTTAAGTTTAATTTTTTCTACTTTGGCCTTTTATATTTACAATCCTGCTGCTTACTTTGGCCCTTCATGTTTGCAATTCTTCCCACTTTGGTCCTTTAAGTTTGATTTTTTCTAGCCTAGCCCTTCGTGTTTGTAATCCTTGCCACTTTGGCCCTTCATGTTTGCAATCATTCTCATTTTACTCCTTCTAGACAAACTTCCATCCAAAAAAGTAACATATCACTAACACATCAGCTCCATATGATGTAAAAAATTCACTAAAGATGCAAAAAATAAAAAACAAAAAAATTGAATTTTTTTGTCTTTAGTGAACTTTTTTTTCAAATTTATTCATAAATATTATTGCATTATAGATGCATCTAAAAAAAATAAAAACAAATTTTACTAAAAAAAAAAAGAAAAATGTTCACTAAAGATAAAAAAATCAATTGTAAATTTTTCATTTCAGAATTGACAATACAAGTATTTGAGTCAATATATGTAGCAACCCTAATTTTCTTAAGTCATTATTTATTATTGTTATTATTACTTCATTATATTTTTGACTTTATTAATTGTGTAGTTACATGAGAATTTAATGTGGTATTTAATTAATTTAATGTGTTATTTAATTAATTTAAACGTGTTATTTAATTATAGATAATTAATCTGAATATTGATATATTTATATTGTTTTAAAAAAAAATGTGTTTATATTATATTTATGTATATTGTATTTATGTTATATGTGTAAGATATAAATATAATAGGCAATTATATAAACTATACTATACCATAATTACTTTTTGTGGAAGTATTTTCATCAACAGCAGAGTGATCAAGAAAAGAAAACCAAGAAAGCCGATAGAAAGAGGAACACCGGGAGAGAGGAGAGAAGAAAAAGAAAAAAAGAAGAAAAAAGATTAGGGTTTTGTTAGGGTGGCTCTATTAGTTCTTCAAATAATTCTTTGACTTTTAAAAAAATATTGTTAGTATAAAATCCACTTCCCTTTATTTATATTTAATTTGTTGTTTTTATTTATTTATTTTTATTTATTTGATGTTTAATTGGTTTCATATTTGCATGTAGATGATTAATTGATTTTAATTATTTTGATTAGTTGTGTATGTAAGATTTAAGGTTTTTAGATGATTGATTGATTTTAATTATTTTGATTAGTTGTATATGTAAGGTTTAGGGTTATTAGATGATTGATTGATTTTAATTATTTTGATTAGTTGTGTATGCAAGGTGTATGGTTTTTATATGGATTTATTTTATGGTTGTAATCACACTCATGGATATATGGCATTAAAATAAACTTAGAACCCATAGATAAATTCCTTATACTTCACCATGACTCCATGGATTGTTGTTTTATTTGAGTGTTGGTGAGAAAGAATGTATAAAAAATAAAAAAAAAGTGATGATTATGAGATTTATTTGAATGCCTTAGATTTGGCATTGTTATGTTTGTTCTCATGAGTGAGATGCTTTGTATATATATATATATATTGTTGCATCGTTCTCATGAATAGATGAGTGCTTTGATTTAAGCGCGTACGTATATGCTAACCATCCGGAGAGTGTGAGTCAAACTCGAGACGATATCCCCGTGCAAGTTTGGCTTCGGAGCGGTGTTAGGTATACGGGAGGCACATGGGATATATGTGTAGGTCGGAAGTAGAGGCCAAAGTAGTAGAGTTAAGGTACAATAAATTTAATTATGAGTTTATTGTTATAGTGTGAATTGTATTGATTTGTACCTCTTGAAAAATAGTAAACGACCTCGATAAATTATGAAATTTGAGTAGAGGCATGTGTACGTGATTCTAGACAACTTTTGTGTTTTAACTTTTTATTAAAAAGATCGATTAAAACTTATAATTGGATTATCTTGGTTATTGTAGTTTTGATTCATTTTAGCAATGCAGATTTTAGAGGCTATTTTAACCCACGGAACGAGCTCATTTTTATTGGTTTAGCGTAAACTGAAGTAAAACATTATTCTGAACACTTTTCGTGTTTCGAACTTTTCCGAAAAAAATCATGTTAGGGCAGTTTCTTTTCGTTTTCAGTTTCAGATTTTTTGGTTGAATTCCGTCTATGTTCTTCTATCAAGTTTTTCTCTCAACCTGCAGTTTCTATTAAATTCGTTCGCGATGTCTTTTAGGAAATTTGATTCTGTACAACTTTGGTTCTAAGTTTTGGTCAATTTGAATTATTTAAGCATGAAACGGTATATTTTTATACTTCTTTAGCAAGTTACTTATGATTAAATAATACTAACTATATTTTTTGCAAGATGGTGGGTCTTACTAACTTTTTTTATGCAGGGATAACCCATTATATTTTTATTTTTATTTTGTTTATTTTATACTCAATTTATATTTCGTTGTGTATGGACAAGAGACTAAATGCCACCGTATGTCGGGAAACTACCCATTCGTCTCAGTGCGGATGGAACTACTTGTCTTGTCCCATAACAAGAATTAAATGTATTTTTATTTGTGTCTGGTGGACACGTGGGTGTTAAATGTTGTACTCATACCAGTATACCTGTATACTAACTCGTTTTGTCTCTTGGCAACTTGGGTGCATTCTGTTTGAGTGTAGCCGAGCTTCATTTGCAGGATTAATTGAGGCTACGGTGGTGACGTGAAATAACTATAGTTGTTGGACATGTCTTTTGGACTTCTTTTGGTTTTCTTGAGCTCAGGGTTGATATTAGTTTATGCATTTTTTATTTTTTTTTATGACCTTAGTATTTTGATAATTTGGCATGGTTTGTTACGTTACATTATTTAAGTTATTTTAACTACGTATTGTTACTTTAATGTTGGAGGTATTAGTTAGTTATGAAATTATATTGGATGGTTTGGTTGGCGTTTAGTTTTTTTGTTTCACCCCTAGGATTTGGATGATGGAATATTAATTGGGGTTTAGTCCTAATTTAATATTTAATTGTCCAAATTTTGGGGCATGACAGTATATTTTCATTTTTTTTCGTTTTTAATAAACTTTTTTCTTTTTTTAGTTAAATTTGTTTTTATTTTTTTAACTGCATCTAATCTAGATGCATCTATAATGTAATAATGTTTATGAACAAATTTGAAAAAAAAGTTCACTAAAGATTAAAAAAAAATCCATTTTTTTGTTTTTTATTTTTTATTTATTACATTTTTAGTGAATTTTTTACATCACATGGAGCTGATGTGTTAGATGTGACAGATTCTGTTAGTTTTTTAGATGGAAGTTAGTCTAAGAATAAAGTGGGAAGGATTACAAATATGAAAAGTCAAAGTGGGATGGATTGCAAACATGGAGATGCAAAGTGAAAAAAATTAAACTTAAAAGGCCAAAGTAGGAAGGATTGCAAACATGAAGGGCCAAAATGAAAAAAATTAAACTTAAAAGACCAAAATAAAAAATGAATGAAATTTTAAAAGGGCAAAGTGTAATTTACCCTTTCTTAAATTCAACTAACTCGTGCTCGTGCAACAAGATTGTAGTTGCTACACAACCGCAATAATTGAGATGTTATTTCGACTTTTACAAGAATAGGGCAAAGCTTGTTCTTGTTTTGCTTTCATTCAACAACAAATGAGCAAGTTGCTATCAACAAGAAAAGTAAGTCCTACAGAAAACGTTTTTGAATTGTTGATTTTGCTTATGTTGCCATTTGAAAGCTTTTGTGGATAACTTCCCCCTTTTTTTTTTTTTTGGGGGGGGGGGGGGGGGGGTGTTCTTTGTTTTTTATGTTTTGGAAAACAATAACAACAAAAAGTTCAAAACATAATAATGTGTGAAAAACAGTTTTTGAAACTTACAAAATTGAACTGTTTCATATAACTCGGAAACAATGCAACAAAAAAAATTCTATGATTTCCGAAAATTGAAAGGATTACCAAAAAAGAACATTTCCTAAAGCACATTTCTGCCAACCAAAACAGAACACAGAAGACAACACTTCACAAGTTTCTAAGACCACCATGTAAAGACCGACTCCGACATGAAAACCCCAAAATGGCTTCAATTAGACGGTGCTGATAAAATACCTAAGAGATGAATATGTGCCCATTTGCCGATTGAAGAAGCTGATCAAATCTCCATAATTCTGAAAATTATTGCAATAAGATCAGACTTTCCTAAATCTGTAACAGCACACGGAAATGCTTTAACTGAAGAAGAATATTTACAAGCTTCAAATAATGCCAAAGAGCAATCAATGGGAGCTGTACCACAAAAGAATGACAGATTATGTTACATAATTAATATATGGAACACCACACAGCTTTCGGTAGCACATGCACAAATTACAACACTTAAAACGGGTCCCAATCATCAGAAATTCCTCCAACATGAAATAGTTAGAAAAGCTTTGATATGACATTGCAAGAAGTCCAAAATGCTGCAGAGGCGGCCCTAAGAAGCGCGGGGTTTTGGTAAATCCTGTTTAGACAAACACGGGTGAGTAAAATCAGAACCACATACTAACACAAAATAAAAAAGTGTTCTATGTTGTTAGATGAAGACACCGCCCAAATAAATTGAAGGGTTCGTTTGGATGTATGTGGATTTGAACAGATGAATTACCAAATTAAATAGAAGTACAGTAAAATAATAAGTAGAAATAAGTATAAAACATTGTAAGCCAGAAAATTTAAATAACTTACCCAATGGCAGTTGCTCCCCAAGATGCTACATTATAGATGACTTTGCTTCCATCCCATGCCTTTCGAAGCTTTCCCTTTTTCTTCTTCACAGAAAATGTCTTGCTCAGGGCTGGAAGAAAACTCAAAGGATGTCAGACTTCTTGCCACTTAATTTTTTATTTATTTTTCATTTGTAATCGAACTCACCATCTTGGAGTTGATTAGGGGTCAAATCCTGCAAAACGAAAGGCAACAAATCCATCCCAAAGATCAGATACTTAAAATGTTGGAGAAAAAAATTCACAGAAACTGCCTTTAGAATGCCAGGTGGATCTTGAAAAGAAGGAACACTGACACTGATCTGGAACCACATGTAAACCAGCGCAAGAACCATACTAATGCATTATACAAGCTCTATCTAATTGTATAATCCTAGTATCTATGCAATGACACCAAATAGCACAAACAATGATATATCTTTTAATGCATTAGAGGATATTTAGATACACTGGCAACTTGGCAAGTATTATTTGACACTATTGAAAGTCTGTGGCCTCGTTTGGGAACAAACTTTTTAAATAATTTTTTGACTTTTTGGTTAAAATGAGATGTAAAAAAAACTAGTATGTTTGGGATGACTTTTTGGGCTTTTACGAAAAGATGTGCAAAAAGTAGAGAGAAAAATGAATCTTTGATTTTTTGGTATGAGTTGTTGGCTTTTTGATTTTTTTAGTGACTTTTTGGCTTTTTGGCTAAAAGGGGCACTTGCCAAACGAGGAATGTAACAGCCGCTCCCTTAATTAATGGTTAAATTACGTAATTTGCCATACTTATGGGTTTATTATGCCTAATTGTATGTTATGCGTTATATGTACCACTTGTTATTTGTGCTGTGTTCATGGTAGTGAATTAGTGGGCAAGATAGATGGAAATGGGTAATAAACCTATCTGAATTGGTGAACCATAAGATTAAAATTAAATATTTGAAATAGGCAATTAGAGCCTGATTCACAGTAGTACGTTTTAATTTAGTGTTAATTAAGAGATTTATAATGAGAAATGAATTATTAACTTAGACTTGGGAAGAGAATTAGGAAAATCCAAACAAGACTTAACTCAAGTCAACAAAAGAGGTAAATAAGGAGAGATAGTGGTTGGTGTAGAGACAACTTGAGAGAGAGCCTTATAGGAGTAGAAGGAAGATAGAGAAAGAAGAGGTGTAGAAGAGCTTAATCCAAATCTTCACTAATTCATTCATCTAAGGTAAGAAACTTTCCTCTAATTTCAAGAATTGAAGTTGTTTGCCCATGGAGTCATAGAAATTTAGATGAATTGAGAAGTTGGATAATGTAAAGTGATGATAGGAACCCTAAAGTGAAGAAATGAAAATAGTCAACTTTTATCCTTGTAATACATGGCATCATCACTTGCATCTTACATGAAATTTGGGATTTGAAGAGTAAATTGCAAGAGTTTTCACTTTGACACTCAAGTTTGCATACATTGAGAATTGTATACATCTAAGGTTCATGATTTTGTGGTCTTCTTTGAGGCTTGAGCCTTGCTTACTTGTTTGAAGTTCAATTCCACTGGTTTTGAAGTGTTTTTGAGCCTCCTTTTGTGTAAATGAGATTGGGTTTTGAAAGGTGGAAAAACTCCATATTCAGTAGAAATTCGAACTGATTTTTCACCCAGACCGCTCGAGTGGCCTGGGCCACCGCTCGAGCGGCCAAGCTTGGTTTGGCCAAATTTGCACACTGAAGTTCGCCCGCACGTGCAGCCTAGGCCACCGCACCAGACCACTGCACATGCGGCTGGGGCCAAAGCACGTGCGGCCAACAGAGCCAGCCCAGATTGATTTTTCTCCTGATTTCTCGGACTTATGGGACTCCAATTGCATGGTTTTCAACTGTTTTTCATGTGCATGTGCATGGGATGAATTTAAAACGAAAAGAAAGAATAAAAAGGATCAGGTTAAATGATTAGTAACAAGTAATGGAGAAGTTAGTGACTAATTGAATATTGAACCATTATGCTTTCATGTGCCTGCGTGGGTTAGACGCCGCATCCTAGTCAAGTGTTACACGAGACTAACGGTGAGTGACAATGTAGTAAAACTATGCTTGAATTATAATTCTTTTAGATTGTTATTGATATTGTTAAAGTTTGTTATACAATGATATGTTTACTGAATACATGAACCCACTCCATATAATATGCTCACGTGGCCCATACCCGGGGGTAATAATACTGCGGTCTACATTCATGTGACCCGTACTCAGGGATAATAATACCGTGGCGTATCTCCACGTGGCCCTCACCCGGAGGTGATAATACCGTGGTCTATGTTCATGTGGCCCTTGCCCAGGAGTAAGAATACCTTTGCCTATGTTCACGTAACCCTCGCCTGGTGGTAACAGTACCATGGCCAGATGCATATGAGATATCGAGTTATATGAACCTAATTTGAAGAACTAGTAAGATGCATATGAGATATCGAGTTATATGAACCTGATTTGAAGAACTGGTATATGAACCCGTGGTTCCACATGATTGCTATGTTTAACGAACATGTTACCGCTATGTGACTTGATTTTACTATTCAAATGGATATTATTTTTAACCTTTTTTTTTATACATTGTTATTCACTGGGCTTTGGCTCACAGTTTATGTCTGTCATGTAGGTGATCCAGCTCAAGAGAGAAGTTAAGGGCGTCAACCTACTTTCTAGTTTATCAAGTCAACCGTAGTGCCTCCCTCCGGGGTTTCTTTTAGGTCTAACTCTAAGACTTTTGGGTGAATTTACCCTTTTGTAAAGTGATCAAGTGACTTGTAACAAAGTGTTTTTGGTTTTATACTTGTATGGGTAATGTGTTTGCTTTTGGTACATGTCTATGATGTGATAAGATATGGGATGATTGTACAGTGATGTATATAAGGTGTGTTTATTCATTTTAGTTCACAGCTCATTGGACGATGATTTGTGATTTTATTGGCTTCCTCTAGCCCCTTACTATTTATTATTCAGCAGGCCTTTGGTAATTGCAAATTACTGGCCGATTACGTCTCTAATCCCGTGGGGAGGGGGTTGGGTCGTGACATAGAATGATAGGCAAGCATTAGGATGTACAGTATCACTTTAATTGGTGTAGAGACACGGCATGACCGATTGAGTGAAGGAGATCAATATCTATCTACAAACAATCCAAGGTAATCAGACAAGGTAAAAATTAACGTGCAACTCCTAATTAAATATATGTATATATACAATCATAGTTGTCAAATCGAAATTCGAATCGTGAATCGAAATGGCCTCATACCGAATCGCAAATCGTAAAGAATCGGTCACTTTTTCTCAACTACTTAGAAACATATATCTACACACTTAGATATTAAATAATCTTATGAATATGAAATATTTAGACTTAAATCAATGAAAATTTGTTTTGAATGATTATCACGTAGTTTAATAAGTAAGAAAGAAGTTAACAAAGGTTCCTATGTAAAATCATCAGTTTACCTTTTTTCTTTTTTAGATAGTTTTATCAACCATTCTCAATAAAGACAATAAACAAAAACAAACTCTCAATTTCCAAAGTAAAAATAATTTGACCACATTAAAATTTGGACAATAAGTATACATACTTTTCCAAGTAACAATGACCAAATAATAAGAAATAATTATTTAGGATATTTTATTTTAAAGCCTAAAACATTTTAAAAGCTATAACTGATCTCATCCATGAAATATTCAACTATATTTAATTTAATAAAATAGCAATAGATAGTTCATGATGTAAGTTATTTTAATCTTGAATATTTTTAGAAGATATATTATGATTTTCTAAAAGAAAAAATGAGAAGAAATGTTAAAAACATGTTGGGTCCGACTGAATCTGATTGGATCCTATTAAAAATTTCATGATCACTAAAATAACAACAAATCATGTGTATATATATATCGGGCATTTTGGTATTAAACGCTATTAGAAGATGCATTATGCCATTTTCACTAAAAAAAAATATAGAAAAAACTTGTCCAACACGATAGTTTCAAAAATTGCATGAATCGTAAAAAATTAATCGAATCGTGAATAGTGTGATTCACTAGAGATTCACTTCCAAAATAGATTCACCCATAGATTCGTATCGATTTTACAAAAATCGCAAATCAAATCGCAAGTCGTAAGATTATGATAAGAGAGTATACAATTACTTACTTCTAGTCATAGCAAAGAAATGTGAAAGCTTTAAAAAAAAAAAAATAGGTAGAGCACTTAAACATTCATGCTTTGACGAAGATCCAAGCTTGCTAGTAGTTTCTAAGTATGATATGAGCTCCTTTCTAAGGATTTAATTTATTTCATAAATTGTTTTAGTTGCCATCTTATGCTAGTTTGTACGGGTTTTCGTGATTCAATTTTGGACGGTTCGGTTTGCGGTTTGGATCCACCTGCATATGTGCCGTTTAGGAAAAATTGAACCCGCAACCGCCTGCAGTGTGGGTTGCGGTTTGTGCAGATAGAGTTTGCGGATGTGAGGGCGGTTTGCGGATTGAACTTTTTTCTTTAGAAAATTATTTTTAGGTCTTTTTTTTTTTCTCCATTTTGTAAATATTTATTTTGGGTCATTTTTCCCCTATTTTCTAAAATGCTCAACATTAATAATTAATGAATTAAAACTTATAAAATTAAAAACACAACAAAATCAATTCCTAACATAAACAAATCATTCAAAATCCTAAACTTATAAATAAAAACATAAACTAATACAAGCACATCTTTCAAAATCTTAAATTAAATCATCAAAATCATTCACTACCAATAATACAATTAGGGTTTGGTTTGTTGGGCAAAAATATCTAGGATAGGATGAATGAAATCAACGGTCCCGGTTAAAAAAAAAAATTATAAAAAAGTTTAAATGCGGGCGGGTTCTTGCGGGTGCGGGTAAAATCCGCAACCCTCAATAATGTCATATTCAAAACCGCATCCGCCCGCATTGTGTCCACGAAACCGTCCATTTGTATGAGGATCAATTAGGGTTGGGCGGGTTATGGGGTTCGAATAACCCTATACCCAGCCCTACCAGTTTGGTTCTTAAATTAACCCAAACCTTTAGCTTAATAGTTAAATAACTATCTTAGTTTTAGGGAGAAAAACAAGCATATGCACAAAAGCTATTAGGTCTGAGACTATGAAGCACGGGCACCTCTCCAAAGGTCGCGTATGTGTGTCCGACACGAACACGTGCTGGACACGTGTTAGACACACTGGAAAGAGTTGGATACGCTGGGACACTTTAGACATGTTGGAGACACGCTGGAGACACTCTAGGGACACGCTGAGTACTATTTTTTTAAAAACAAATTATAATTTTTAATTTTTTTACTAAAATAGCATACCTAAGGTTGATAAATTTGATAAAATTAAATATTTGACATAAAATACATATTAAATATTTAAAAATATAAAAATATATGTTTTGAACGCGTCCCTAATGTGTCGTGCCCTACATTTTGTGAAAATTTACGTACCCGGGTATCCATGTCCGTGTCCGTGTTGTGTCACGTGTCCGTACTTCTTAGGTCTAAGTGCAACCCCTTTCCCACATTTCCACCAAGAGAAAATCATTATGGCTGGCTATGTGCAACCTATTACTCAACAATTATATCACTAACTAGTAATTGAGCCTACGGATTATTGATTTAGTTTAACTGGCAGCCATCAACAATCAATCAAAGTAAAAACATTCACCCCTTTTCTCTATTTCAAATAATAATGAGAATTTTCACATACCTTAGTCTGTTTAAGGGATAACAGGTAGGCAGCCATGAAGCATGCAATACCCTCCACTATATCTTCTTGCCTAACTAAAACATAATCATCTTGGTCCAGCTCCATGCTTCCACCTTCCCATAGATCATTTTCACTGATCATGTCCCAAGAATTTCCTTCTTCTGCTATCACACATAGATTGTATTAGCAATGACCACAAATATCAACTTACTTTGAAGCCAAAAGTATTAGAATCATAGAAAATTAACATTAGTGATTATAGCAAAGAACAAGTTTGTCCAAAGATTTGACATTGAAATGCAAGGGAAAGAATTAAAAAACGAAAAAAAGGAGTATCATAAGCTAGAAACTTCTCAAAGCAACAGCCTTTATATACCTACCAGCCAAATTTTGCGAAACTGATGCCTGGGCACTCTCTAGCTTTTCAAGGAAATCAGAGCATTCAAATCTAGATTTTAGAAGATCACACAACTGCAAGAAAGCGAAAGAAGAACGCACATAACTACTAAAGGTTTGGATGATAAGCTGTCAAAAATTAAACAACTACCATCTTCTAACACAGTCATTCATTTTTATTTGAGTGCACCTACATTTGTAAAGTAAGTATGCAAGGAAATTATTGGATTATATAGCAAAAGCTGCAAGATCGCAAGGATGATCAATGGGTCTTTTGTACAAATTAACTTCACTTTCTATCTTAATATTGCGCTCATGTCAGACTACAAACTGACAGTGAAACTTTCAAACACAAGTTATGCAACCAATTTTGTAACCCATAAGAATCAAACAGTCAGTGTGCATATTTGAATATCTATTTTGCTTAATAAAAACATGTTAAACAAACATTGAAAACCGAATCAAGGTTCATCTTTAATAGATAATCACAACAAGTACTATAAGCTGTATGTGTTTGGTGTGCATACCAAAAAACATCTACTATATGCGATGTCATAGAATCCATGCGCACCACAAGGCTTTATTGTTTATGGATATGCATGAAATATGGCCCAAAAGTTAAAAAGCGAATCAAACAAACAGAATTACTGTATGATGATAAAACATTTGAATATAATCCAATTCATTCAACCAATATCAAACAAACACATGGCGAACAGAGCAGCACAATTCAGCAGAATCAAACCCTAAATACGACCCTAAACCAAAATTCACCAACACAAAACACCTAAATTTAAACTTTAAACAAAAATTCTCCGACCTCGTCAGTCTCCTTATCGGGTGCCGACGAACCCTCGGGCGCCTCCTCCCCGTCGTCGGACACTGCACCATCGGCATCAGCGTCGAAGCCGGTGTCACCAATCAATTCGAGAGCTCTCTGGCATTGCTGAAGCACTGCCTCCAAGGTCTTCCTCTTCACGCGAAGCCGATCGTTCTCTGAATCGCCTCCGCCGACGGGCTTCGACCCTGGCACCTCGACCACCTCCATAACCCTAACAATACATACATCAATATATATAAATACACAAATACAGAGAGAGAGAGAGATGAGATGAGACCTCTTGTTTATCTTCTTGTTTGGAGCTCAAACCCTAGAGAAGAGCATTTTTGGATGTATGAAGATCGATCGAAGAAGAAGAAGACGATTGCGTTTGTAGAATAGTTGGTTTCGTACAGTGTTGATTTGGCTTTTGTGCTGGCGTGACTGAGCCGCCTGAGAGTTGTGTTTCTGTTTGTGTCCCGTGTGGATTTGATGCCGTGAATTGCAATTGGAATTGGAATTTGATTTCCAAAGCCTACACCCACACGTAAATAATAATAATAAGGTCAATCTTTTTCTGTTAGTATCCCAATAATTTTCCTTTTATTGACTTTTTGTTATTTATGATGTCATTAGTTATGCATGGTATTATTAGTTCAAACATTTGGGATGGGATGGGATGAGATGGGATGGGATGGGAAGTTACTAAGGTCTCGTTTGACAAGTTAACATTTTAATTAAAAAGTTAAAAAATTATTAAAAAAGTCAAAAAATTTATAATTTATATTAAAAAGTTAAAGATTTTCTTTTTTCTTTATTTTTTGTACATATTTTCGTAAAAAGTTAAAAAGTCACCCTAAACATATTAGTTTTTTTACCTCATATTTTAGTCAAAAAATCAAAAAGCTACTAAAATAGCATGTTTCCAAACGAGGCCTAAAAAGATAAAATAGTTTTTTTTTTAATTTTATATTAAAAATTGTCATATTTAAATTATAATTATATTTTTTTTTGTCATAAAAGTCAAAATATCCATTCCAAACGAGGTTATTTTAACCCAGATAAATCCAAAAAGTCAACTCACATCCCAAACGAAACTTTAAAAAAGAGTAATGTTGACATATAATAAAATACTACAAATTAATTAAACAATGAAATTTTTTAATTAAATTTTTTATGATATTTCTTTTATGGAACCTAAGATTACTTTTTAAGAAACACCGTGAGCTTTTAATTGGAGTCTTTCTCCACTAATGTCTTGTTTGGGAACATGTTAATTAGTAAAAAAATTAAGAGAAAATTATTGATAAATCCAATCTAAAATATTGCGTAAGGCATAAGGTCCACTGAATAATTGTTTTTAATGAGAAGAACGCGCTATGTGAAATATTATGGTAAGAAATCTCTTTTGTTATTTTTAAGAACACTTTCTTTTCAATTTTACCCTTTTATATTGAATTTTTGTAACCTATATATCTATTCAAATTGTTCAAAAAAAATCTATCCGTTGAAATCATTTGTTCAAAATTCATATCTATTGAAATTATATGTTCAAAAAATCTATCTGTTCACAAATCTATCTATCTATTGAAATTATCTTCTTCTTTGTTTTTTTGAATCTATCTGTTGAAATTCATTATTGAACTTATCTGTGTGAATCTATCTATGTAAATTTACCAGTGTTAAACAACTCAAAAGATAAAGAAGACGATAAAGAACATTTGGAATCAGTTGTGGTTTGATTATCTATATTGTTAGATTGGTGTATGTATATATGTATGTATGTATGTATGTGTTTTGTATGTAAAAGAAAAGCCAAAATGATGAGAAAGAAAAAAACGGCTCAATTCTTAGAGCAAAGTAGAAAGGTGGGTTTTGTCCTTCGAGACCGTAACGTGGCATTTTTGGATTTCAAAGAGAGTAGGGAACAGATCTATCGTCATCGCCGATCGAGATCTGCCGTCGATTCATATCCGATCCAAAAAACAAAGAAAATAACAGATTCTCGATCCAGATCTGTTATCACCACCACTCCCTTGGACGTTGCAGTTGCTCTAGGGACTCTTCGTTGTCGCCAACAAAGTCACAGATGGGTTCATCGTTATGACATAGCGGTCAACTTTGATATGAGTTTTCTTCAATGTTTGCGGCTATGGCGGTCTCGGACTATGAAGATCTCGATGTCGTCATTGTCCTTATTGGTGACGGAGGTAGATGTAAATGCGGTGGTAAAGGCCCTCTTCAGATTGGCAGCGACAAAGGTGGTGGTGAGGAGGTCGGAGAAGGAGGAGAAATGGTGGTGGTAATGAGAGTGGCCTTTGTCGATGGTGTGAAACTATAAACCTAGAGAAAGAAAGATGAGAAGTGAGAGAAAGATAAATAGATAAATAGATAGACAGATAGAGAGAGAAAGAAAGAAGTGGGTTTGTTAGAGAGAGAGAGAGAAATGAATTTGTACAGATAATGAGAAATCTTATGCATAGGTAATAAGCATGACTCTAGCTATTGCAAATGGAGTATGGGGTAGTTTGGTCATTTCGAAGAAGCTTTTCTTTATGAACATAGTATTTTCGTGCGTGAACTTTGGGTAAAGAAAATCTAAATTTAGATTATCGCTTGAGCGCCCAAAGATTAATACAAAAAATTAACTAATTCTCTTTATTTAAAAGAAATCATAAAAAATTAAAAAATTCAATTCTCAAACAAAACCTTAAGAATAGTAAATTCACTTGGTATAGCTTAGGAAAGCCCCACTGCTAATCCAAGGATGAGATTATTGTTTGAATATGTTACAATTTTATATTTATTTATCAGAGAAAATGCTTGTACATTATTTTGACAACATGCATGGTTGCTGTGGTTCTTATTTAAAATATATAAAAAAAAATTGTATTTATACATAAATTCATACCAAAAATAAATAAATAAAAAACTTTATAAGAATAATATGGTATTACCATTATTATAAATAAATTCATCTTCAATAATGTTTTGTTTTGGAATGAGAGGTGCAATGAGTCCTATTATTATGTATAAATTTTTTATTTGTACATCATTAATCATTGTTTTAATTTTTGTATAGTAGAATTATAAATGATGTATTTATTGTCCGCGTGATCTCCTCCAAATTGTGATAAAAAAACTATGCTTTGTTTGGTTGAGTTAAGTTATCATAATTTTTTTCACTTAAAAAAAATGTTAGAACAAAAAAAGGAACACTAAGGCCTCGTTTGGGAACAGGCTAATTTAGTAACTTTTTGGCTATTTGGCTAAAAAGGTAGGTAAAAAAAACTTGTATGTTTGGGATGACTTTTTGACTAATTACAAAAAGATGTGCAAAAAATAGAGAGAAAAGAGAATCTTTGACTTTTTGGTATGGGTTGATGGCTTTTTGGCTAATTTAGTAACTTTTTGACTAATTGGCTAAAATAGCCTCTTGCCAAACGAGGCCTAAGGTGCCGTTTGGTAACACTTACATTTTCAATTTTTTTGTTTATATTTACAAAAATTTAAAAAACTCAACTAAAAACTTGTTTGGTAAATTTTTGATTTATAAATCAGTGGTCTCAGTTTATAAATTTGGCCAAAAAATATAAACTAAAAAAATGTGTTTCCATTTTGAGTTTTGAGTTTTTTTTTTTTTTTTTTTTACCACCCAACACTAGCCACCACCCACCACCATTTTCTACCATCGTCTTCCGCCACCACCACCCACCACCACTTGTCATCACCACTCACCAGCCACCTGCCACCACCAACCACCAGCCACCACCCACCTGCTACCCACTTGCCACCACCCACCTGCTACCCACTCGCCACCACCATCCACCCCTCGCCACCACCACCACCACCACCACCACCACCCACCTGCTATCCACCCGCCACCACCCCCCATGTCATGACCTGAACCCGCCTCCGTGGGTTAAGGACATAACCGGCCAGTAATCATGAGATTAGCTACGGTCTCAAACCAAACCAAACGTATTTTAACAGAGTTAACGGGGGCCAAACGGAAGCAATTTAAAACTTTGTCCATAGAACTGTGCTTGCATGGCACATCATAACAAACCATATATATGTACATTAATAACTCACAACAGAAGTATGGTACCATAAAGTTATGTACATACAGGATCATCCAAAAGTAAGTCAACCCGTGAAAACTATATACATACATGTTCAAAGACTTCACCAACATGACAACATAAAACAAAATAACAAAAAGGCGAAGACGAGTCTCGGGCGTGAGACACAAGGGCTGACTCTTCAAAACCTTTGTTGTTCCACACATACTTCACTGGGGCTGGGTTTGGACTTCTCTTGGCTCACCTACAAACACATGAATGAACGTGAGCGATAGCCCAATGAATAATATCAAATAAAGGAGTTATACAAACGGTACGTAGAACAACATGCTTCAAACGGCCTTGGGCCCAATTTATATTTTTATTTAACATATATATATACACAATTTGAGTCAAGTAACTGTGGTTCCAAACATACTGACCCTTGGCCCATTTATCTTCCATTTGTCAAACTGGCCTTTGGCCCATTCAGATTTTCATGTCAAACTGGCCTTTGGCCCATTCAACTTTCATTCATGTCAAACTGGCCTCTGGCCCATTCATTGATTCATATCAAACATTTGTCCGTAATTCAAACTAGCAAACTTATAAGGCTTATAAGGAGATAAGCAATTGGACAAATGACAACTTCAAAATATCGATATTACTCACAGTGATCGGTTGGTTGGTTTGTCCTGGAGCTCGACCCTACACATTCCATGAACACAAAAGGGTCACAAACAATTTGATCCGTTCTAAATTCACATATTCCTCTTTAGACTTCATTCTTATCTCTTTAACTCAATTACAATGCTCAATGCATGCCTAAGAGTACTTAGAAGTGAAAGAGAATAGAAAACGAAACACAGGATGTCTTTTCAAAATTTCAGAAAGCAGGGTCCCCGCTCGAGCGTGGACTTCCCCGCTCGAGCAAACCCTTAAGGCCTGCAAAAGTACTGGATATGTCAAATTTACGCTCGATCGCGAACTTTGGCGCTCGAGTGGAAGGCCTTACTACATGGCTACCCGCTCGAGCGTGAAATTACCCCGCTCGAGCGGACACCATGTCTGCAAAAAGTGCTTGATGCATCAAAATTATGCTCGAGCGTGAAGTCTGGCGCTTGAGCTGAAGGTCTGTCTATAAAGTTCCTCGCTCGAGCATGAACTTACCCGCTCGAGCGGACATCCAAGTCCGCAAAAATACTGGGAGCACGAAATTCATGCTCGAGCGGCGGTTTCCCCGCTCGAGCGGAAATCAAGTTTTCTGGGTTTTCCAGAACATGTTCTTGAGCTTCAATTTGATGTTCAAAGGTTCCAAATGCATGATTTTGGCTCAAACTTCACATATACATATTCTAACATGGTATAAACCCCAAATTACAACCAAATGAAGCTCAATTTCATGAATTAAACACATGCATGTCTCAAATTAACTCAAACTCATCACCAACACATTAGATTCAAACATGCAAGA